AAAAACATCAAAAATGACCGATTTTTCACCAAAAACCATGCATGGAAAATCATCCAAAATTACCCATTTTTCACACAAAACAATGGACTATAGCCCATGAAAATCATCCAAAATGACCGATTTTTCACAAAAACCATGGATTATAGCCCACGAAAATCATCCAAAATGACCGATTTTTCACAAAAACCATGGATTATAGCACACGAAAATCATCCAAAATGACCGATTTTTCACCCAAAACCATGGACTATAGCCCACGAAAATCATCCAAAGTGACCCATTTTTCACAAAAAACAATGGACTATAGCCCATGAAAATCATCCAAAGTGACCCATTTTTCACAAAAAACAATGGACTATAGCCCACGAAAATCATCCAAAGTGACCCATTTTTCACCAAAAATCATGGACTATAGCCCATGAAAATCATCAAAAAATGGCCAGTTTTTCACCCAAAACCATGGACAATAGCCCATGAAAATCATCCAAAATGACCGATTTTTCACCAAAAACCATGCTGTAGCCCACGAAAATCATCCAAAATGACCGATTTTTCACCCAAAACCATGGGCTATAGCCTATGAAAATCATCCAAAATGACACATTTTTTCCCCAAAAGCATGGACTATAGCCCACGAAAATCATGCATAATCATGATTGATTTTTAACAAAAACCACTGACTAYAGCCATCGCTCTATGCACCATTCTCTATTGGTCTATTGTACACATATTTTACAAAATCCTGAAAGTACTTAGTTTTTCTGAAAACCAATTTGAGGACATTCCAATACTCCAAAGCACAAGGATCCCATGAAATGACACATTAAACACGACTCTTGTCCGTCGTGTTTTGGTTAGGAATGCTTAAATACACTTTATGCATCGAGTAGCGTATTAGGTCTATTAGGAACGGTACAAAGGGAGGATGGCGGCGGCTAACTCGAGAGAAAACATGAAATGGATACATTTTTGGGGATTCAGAAAATGAAACATTCCGATTTATTCATTTTTATTTTATTTTTCTCATATTTACACATATCTATATTTCTGAACCYAAAAACGGGGAGACGTTGATCCATCATTCTGGATCCTCTGATTTCCTTTCTTTTTCGTTTTACTTGTATGTTTTTACATTTCATTGTGAACATTTGTAAAACCTAATATCTAAATATCTGTGCCTTTGGTTTCGAATTTTACCTCCTTGGTGTATCCTGATGTTGGTCGGACCTTCAAATATCTGAAATATACCAACATCTACAGCAACACTTCTAATAGTATWTCCCTACCAATATAAAGCTACTAATAAAAAAACAGTTTCAATAATGTACTGCGCAATAATTATTATTTGCCAACGTCCAAATCAATCAACTTTAATTCTCAAACCGATCGCAAAACTCAACAACTCAATGAAATAACCAGTAAGATCATTTTACAGCTTGGTAATTTTGTGAGCGCAAAGGCCTGCTCCAACACCCAACATTTTTCAAAATTTCTCAAAATCACTCCTCTTTGAAAAAAAGAGAGGAAAGTCAGAAAAGGTTTCTGCTCTTTTCACCCATTTCTCAACAGCCACCACCGCCTCCTGATAATTATTGCGCAATCCCATTGACTTGCGGTTTTTCCTGAAGCAATAAAAAAACGTCTTCGCACTCATGTGGAGCTATTCATAAATTCGGTGTTTTTTAGATAGGAGATGTCTTGAGCCAAGACTAGCGTCGGCTCGTTTTTTTTGATGTCCGTTTTAAAAAAATCCTCATTATACTTTTCTACTTATATTGTTTGTTTAATTGTCTTTGCTTTTGGAAATAATAAAAGTAGTTTTGCTGTTAATTTAAAGAAAACACAAAAAGTAATAGTGGGGATTATTTCAACGCACAAAAATAAGTAAGATATGACATTATAATTTTTTCCATCGTGATTTGTTCATTGCCGATTAGTCGGCCATATCATTTCATATTTGTCTCTAATAAAGACCCTCGAGGCTCTGTTATATGATGCAGCTCGGCTGGCTCTGGATTTCTTTTGGAAAGGTAATGTTCTTGGCCGGCATCTATGGTAGATATAAAAGTAATATTACTTTATCAATGAATATTCTTCTTCGCAGTTTATTCTGCCATTGAAATGTAAATGCCTTTACATCGTAACTAGGTGACCGGTGAGCCTGAAGTGATTTAATTAGTCGGGCTAGTCCGACTTTACGCTCTAAGAGCGTCTAGTTAAACCTTTGATCACARCTATAGATAAATATTCACAAGTGATCATTGCAAGGTCATCCATCGTGTGGCTTCGGGAACTGTTAAGAAGACAGGATTGTCAACTTTTTTGTTGCCACAAACGCAAAATCTTCCGATTTTCAAAAAAAAGACATTCAAAACTTCCCTAGGTATTTCTAAGCAAGTGACAAAATATAGATAAATAAATGACAAATACATTAGAAAAAACGTGTAAAATACCAAGCTATAGGATCTCTTATTGATGTGCTGAAGAAAGTTTAAATTGCATGCACATGACACCTTTTAGAAAATCACTTTTACCCGAAAAGTAACATGCTGCCAAGCACTTCTGTGAAGAAAGATATAGATTTTGAATTGTATTTTCTGAGTCTTAGGCATAATACAAATGAAGTGACGTCAACTAAGGAATTGGTCCAGACTTTTTACATTGTTTCTGTTAAGTTGTTCTTGGATGAAGAGCTCCAATCATCAATAACATGWAATAATTGAGAGCTGAAAATGCTTTTTACAATGTAACAAAAATAATAATGTCCTCAACCTAGAAAATACAATTTAAAATCAATAATTCTTTCTACACAGATGAACTTAGCAGCTGCATTTTCTCTCTTGGATGAGAATGAATCTCTAATGGTGTCATGTGCACTTTAAAATGGTTAGACATCTTTATATACTCACTTTTGCTGAACAGAAGCTCTGCAACGCTACTGGACTATCGGCTTTGTCTAAGGCTTCTTGATAATGACAGTAACA